TAGATGAATACATGCAGTATATTTCTATTTATCTAAGGTTAAGAAGCAAGCAAGATTACTGACATTATTTAGGTGTACATTCATAGAGGGTTATTAGTAAGGCCTGAGAGAGAAGAATGTGATGACAGAGAAGATGAGGAACAAAGAGCTTTCAAAGGAACCAAGCAGTGACTATGTTACCTTGTTTGGTTTGGTTTTGTTTCCCTTAAACCATTTAACTATATGGATATATAGAGAATCCTTTCTTTGTGAAAGACATTTCTCATTAAAAATTTCAAGTATAATTAAATACATTTAAGATGTACTGAATGTAAGTTGTACGAAATAAATGGGATAAAGAATTAGTCAAACATATAGGTGATCAAAGAAAAGAAACCTATAAAGATAGAGAATACTTCCTAGAAAAATTAATACTGATAAGTAAGTTCTACGGGGTAAAAAAAAAAAATCACTGGGAGGAACAGTCTCTGACCCCAAGGTCTACCAAAATAACCAGCTTCTAACCAACACCTAAGTTACTCTCAATCTGCTTGTACATAACAAGTGAACACCAGTTCAATGCTATAAACTGTCAAGAACTGCCCACAGACAGGCTCCAGCTCCCCAAAGCTTTGTTTAGCTATCACAGTCCAGTAAGCTTTGTTTAAATGAAATGCCTTCTGGCACAGCAGGCTGGTCAGTTCACTTCTTTCTACTCTCCTCATCTTCCCTCTTTTTCCAAGACGTACTACAAAGCTGCCCTTGATGGCAACTGATCTTGAGACTAGCTGAACCCTAGCATGTCCGGTACATAACATAAATTTCACCTTCAATATTATCATGGACTCTGATTTTTAAGACCCTCGCCTAATTCTCCCTCCCCATCTCTCCCATTTGTTCTCCTCACTGTACAACTAGAGACATTGCTCTTTATCACATAATTGAAAATATCTGGAAAATTAAATACAGCAACTTTAGAAAACTGTACTGCAGGTAGATGGGCTCTTTGTGAAAATTATAGGTGGAGTAGAAGTGAGATCTAAGTTCTAGGCCTTATTTTCACAATATCTTACAGCATAACTTGAACTCAATCTTTTCATTCTTCTAAGATTCAGTTTCTCTCCCTTTCTCTCCTTAGGTAATGAGATTTCAACTAAATCTAAAGTTCTCCAATGTCATCTATACAAACATTTACACTAAAATAAGCTTTTCAGCATGTGCAGATTCTCCCTGCTCTGGAAGGAATGAAAGCCTAGAGTGTGTGCTAGGGAAACAGGCTGACCTAATGAAAAGGAAAGAGGGACAAGAACGAGACATGAGCTGAATCACTGGGGACATCAGCCTCAGAACAATGAAAACAAACCTCACAGCTTTACCTGTGAGTGCCTTTCACGCAGTATGAAAACATGTTACAAAAATGTTACTATCCAATAAAATTAAAATATTCTGTCACATAGCCAATTTTTATTCTTAAATGTGGTAAACTCTGCAACAGCAGAGATCTACTAACAAATTTCAACAAAAGACTATAAAATGCTCACTAAAGCTATGAAATAAATTTCAAAACTATTAAAATATTATTTTTAAAAATGTACAGTGAGGTATGCCTCGTAAATTACTTGAGGGCATTAAATAATCACACTTTAAAAATCTCCTTTTTTAAGTGTCCACATTACACACATGCACTTTTTTTTCAAATAAAATTAACACTTTAAATAGTATTTAAGATCATGAAGACCTCAGGATTTTTAAATATTTACCTAGCCATTTAGAAACTACTTGGTATCTTAGGTATAGAAAAATAGCACACCAAATTCCATTTTTCCAAACCTCACATGTAAATAATAACACAGGTAATAACAGTGTTGCAAAGCTGACTGGTATACTGTAAAATATACAATAGAAATGGAATAGAAATAGCCTACAATTTTGTCATAGCTTTCATATAGACAATTGATTTTTTTTAACTTCCTCTTAGTTCCAGCCTGCTCCTGGCACACTGCAAACTTACTGCTTCTTTCATCAACCCACAAAAAAAAGTCAGCAGTAATTAGATTTTAACCTTAAATTCCTGGGTATGTTTTGAAAAGAGGACCTTAATTAAGAACTGACATATATATGATATTTAAACATTATAAATATAATGTATAAATATTTTATAATCATGACATTATTTTTAGTATGTTACCTAATATATTTAAAAAGTCAAAATTACTCTAACTCTATTCTCATGTAAATAAAAACATTTATGTTGATTTGCATTTTCAAGTATTTTCAAAGATGCTAAGACATTTAAATTCCAGAAAATATTTCAACAATTTTATCACAAGGACAAATTCAATTTTTATAAAAGTTTTCTTCAAAAAAAAATGTAGATTTGCTCATTTTCCCCAATCATACTTTGAAAACTGCATAGGACAGCAGTAATAACCTTCAACATTAAAATAAAGCTTTTTAAAATTATTCATTTGTGACTTCATATACATTTATTTATATACTACAGGAAGCATAAAATTGCGGTATTATAGAATTCAGTCAGCTACAGGTACATAGACACAGAGGAGTTTACTGATGTGTCCAAAGTTAAACAGGTAGGCCAAGATTTGATCCTTTAACTCTCTGCCTCTGAATCCAGATCATTTCCTCTTATGTCAAGTTTCACCTAAAGTCTTGTCACTTTCTGAAACAAGAAAGATGTTTTTACAATTAACATATACAACACTTCAACAAATAGAAAGCCACTTAATCTTCTATTTCCATAAAAGTACTGATTTCTTAACTTTCTAACATAATACGCATCCTTTCTAACATAATACAAATCCTCTATGTTAAACTTCAAGAACATCATAAACAAAAAATTCTTGTATTATAATCTTTGCTGGGCTAAAAAATATCTTTATTTAGAAATGCCCAAATAGTATCATTTAAGAACACTAAACAGTAAATAACCATGTTCACGCCTCTGAACTATTAGCATATACTTTAAGATGCTCAAATGGTTCTAACTGAAAAGTAAAATCTGAGTAAGGGTTTTCTACTCTAAGAAAATATACTGTCTTTACAAACATAAATTGTATTTTCTTCCAATATAAATAATAAGTGACATTACCTGGAATAACACTGCACTTAAGGCCGGAAAAAAAATTGCTTTGATAGCAAGAAAACCACACTAGGAAAAGAAGACTAGAATTTTTCAATTTACAATAGAACAGACCTAACTATTCATAACTAACCAATAGATTGCAACCAAAATATTTAAACTGTAATGTTTCCCTGAAAACCCTCTACAAAATCAGCAAAACTATGCTAAAGGACTCTCCCAATGTTAAAAATGCAATCTAGTCACATAAAAGTCAAATTTATTCCAATCTATGAAAATAGCTGATACCAGCTGATAACAAATCTTCTCTCAACAAGTTTTCATTTGGTAGACATTTTTTTAAACATTGTCTATTTGTGCTTGTAGTAAATAAAAGATGTAACTGGATTGTTGGTTTTTCCTAGCATCTGGCCAAATAATAACAGAGCATAAGAGTGGCCTACGAAGTCAAGCAAAGTGGTAGACTGAGGAGCAGAAGACAGGAAGATCCTCCAGGTCAAGGCCCACACAAGACAGCCTGACAGGACAGAGCATAAGAGTGGCCTACGAAGTCAAGCAAAGTGGTAGACTGAGGAGCAGAAGACAGGAAGATCCTCCAGGTCAAGGCCCACACAAGACAGCCTGACAGGAATATACAGCAAAACCCTGCCTCAAAAAGAAGAGAAAAGAAAACCGCAGGAAAATACTGTCTCGTGATATATACAGATCAGTGTTTAGTAGGCCATAAAAATCCATGTAGTGACTCACAGATAATTTTGAAAGGAACACAAGAGACAGAGAAACCAGTGCCTCAAAAGTGTTAAGGACAAGAAACTTTTGTTTCCTGTCTTCTGGATCATAGTATGAAAAAATATCACTTATCAGCAAAATCTTACTCCTAAGGATATACAATCCTCCATAAAGTTCCTACAGTTACCCTCTAAGTTGCAGAGAACACACCTCTGAGAATTGAAAAATCTAATCAGACCCTAACACTGTCATTTTTTTTTGGCCCTAGATCTTCTGTCTGCCTGAACACGTCTGTCTAAACTAATGTTAATGTCACCCAAACAAACACAGTTCTTGGAAAGATCTAACACAATAAATATAAAGGGTTTGCACTTGGTTAATGCTCAATAGAGCAGCTATACTTAAAGAACCTCTAGGTAGTGTAGACCAGGTGGATTTCCCAACGCAATACAGATACAAGTTCATTCCCTTGTGATGATTTCAATGCCTTTAAAAACAAAATATGAAAGCCTATGGGAGTTGGGGGAGGAAATGTTTTGGGCATCTTTCCACACATTACTAAGTTTAAAGGTTAAATTGCTAAAACTTTCTCCTAATTATGCAAGAAATACACAGCCCATGAGTTAGTCTATAAAAACATTTTTTAATTGTGTTAGTGTCTATTCATCTAAACCAAGTCTCAATTCCAAGGCTCATTTCTGTTCTTTGAATTATGAAAACACTCATTTGTCCTCCCACATCACCACTTGTGATGAGACTGTACTGTTGAAAAATCTGCATACACACTTTTATTCTAAATGGAGCTTGTCGTCTCCAGGCAGGCATCTTCATTTTAATAGCAAACACATAAACTGTACCAAAATGTAGGAACTCAGTATGCCCAAAGTGGGAGTAGTCAAATCTATTAAACCTCAAGTCAGTCACCTCATTCTTGAAAACTCTCCTCCTGCATAAGCTAAGTCAGGGAGTGAATGATTTCATTTCCACTCATTGGTAAAAAGCCACTGGCTTCTGCGTTTTTTGAAGGGCCCCATGTACTGGGACAACCTTCCCAGCCCCAAACACAAGTTCCTGCCCCTTGCTTTCCACCGAGAGAGCCCACGCGCTTTCGCAGCTGCGCTCCTGCTCCAAGGACACGCAAGCGGTCCACCCGCGCTCCTCTTACCAAACCATGCCCGCTCAAGAACCCTACCTGTTCTCGGGAAATACAAGGCAACGACGGTCTCCTGAACATCTTGCCACTGCCATAGTAACCGGCCGCGCTTTCTCCCAGCGACACGCAGCTGGACCTCCTCCGGGGTCTGATCACAGGCACTTTTTCATCCGCGGTACTCGCCGAGCGCAGGGAAGGAGAGGCTCCCCGGACGTGAAAGAAGTGGTCCAAGCCCAGGGCTAACAGGCATCCCGCGCCCCCAACCAGGCACGACAGCAGAGGCCTGAGCGCGGGCGGCAGAGCCCCGAGGCCAGAGAAGGACACCCACCACACCAGGCCGGCGAAGAGCAGCACTAGGACGCCGTGCCGCAGTCTCACGCGGGGCGCGAGTGTCAGCAGCCCCACGCAGCTCAGCACCAGGCAGAGTCGGCCCACCGCCGCCGGCTCCCCGCGCAGCCAGGACCACCACTGCCACGCCGCGAAGTCACCCAGGTAGCAGCAGGCGGGCAGCGCCAGCAGCCACCAGGAGCCGGCGCCGCGGCCCGGGCCGCGCTGCGCGCGCGTCAGGAAGCAGGTGAGGAAGAAGAAGGCACAGGCGATGCTGAAGAGCGGGCTGAGGCTGAGCGAGCAAGCGCTCAGCAGCGTCCGTAGTCCGGCCGCCGCGGCCGCCCAGCGCTCGGGCCCCGCGCCCAGCAGCGCGGCCAGGACAAAGGCGGCCAGGACGCCGAGCGAGAGGCGTGCCCCGGCGCGGAGCGAGGCCGCCGGCGGCTCCACGTTGCAGAAGCGGCAGAGGTGGAAGAAGAAGCTGCGCGGAGGGTCCTGCCGCAGCGGGCTCACGCAGCTCTTCACGTAGCCGTTGCGCAGGCTCTCGGGGGGCGAGGCGACCGGCGGCGGCGGCGGGGACCTCATGGCTGGCGCGTCCCGCTCGCGCTCGTCCTTCCTCATGGCCCCGGGCCGCCCGGGGACCGCTGGCGTTCACCGACCCCGCGCCCTCCGCGTTCCGGGCGCCCTGAGCTTCGCAGAGCGGTCACGGCTGCGCCCGCCGCCGCCCGGGATCCCCGGTGCGCGGGCTGAGGGGCGGCGGCGTCCGCCTCATGCCGGCTGCGGAGAACGGAGAGAAGGTGCTTCTTGGTGTCCCGGGGCCGCCGCGGACGCCTCTTCTCTTTCCCCTCAAGCACCGCTCGGGACGGGAGACGGCGGCGTCACCTCCCAGCTCCCGCGCGCAGCAACAGTTACCTCACGGCCGCAGCCTGGTCCGTTGGGCGCGCGATCGGGCGCTCCTCCCCCCGCGGCTGCCCCTGCCGGGCGCGCGCCCCGCCGGCGGCCCCGCGCGCTCCCGTGACTCGGCCGGTCGCCACTCGGGCGGCAGCCACCCGCGTCAGGATGCGCATCCGGGACCCCGCGGGGGAGCGCGCGCCCGCGGCCCGGCTGGTTGCTCCAGGGAGACCGCCGTCGCGTCAGGCTGCCAGACTCTGACCCCTCGGGGAGCGCGCACGGGCCACCGAGAGCGCCACCACTGAAGTTGGAACACCTACCCCCGGACTGCTACCGAGCGACGAGCTCTTTGGCAGATGGGAGGGACTGACCACAGTCCTGAGCCGCCCCCAAGCACTGTCCACTTGGATGGTAAGTCACATACAGCCCTGAATGATGCAGTCAGGTCACTGCGAGGTCTTGGGGAGACCCCAAGGACAGTGCCTAGTGAGGTGAGAGCTCTTAGTGTGCCCTCAGACTGTGAATGGAGATGTGAAGTGAGAGGCTCAACCAACACTGAGGCCAGACCAAAATGAAGACACGCAGCACTGTCAGTCATGTCTGGCTTCCAAGGCAAGGGAGATTTGGAGCCCAACACCAGGCCTTGAATCACTTCAGGAGCTCAAGAGGGGAGGGCCCCTGGAGAGTGCACTCAGATAGCAAGCATGTCTTGCTGAAGAACCCTTTTCAGTGAGGCTGAGAACTAATATCCAGTCCTGTGTTTGGCATCCTTGCCAGACATGTACTGCTTCACACTTCTGTTACTCCACCACAGACAGCATAGACTCACTGTCCCAAAAGTGAGACTTTTTCTGTGCAACAGTGTGTTCTGGGGTGCAAAGGAAGGAATGGAGTCCCATAGTCCTAATACCACTCATCAACTAGAATGGGGCTGGTCTTGAAAGAAGCCAATTATATGTTTTCTGTGAAAAACCTGTGAAACTTATACACTAGGAAAGACAAAAGTAGAAGTGATATTAGCAAAGACAGACTTAAAAGTTGAAGAAAAGGACTTTTCTGAACGAAAGGGATTGCCTTGGAATCCAACCAGTCATAACTGCCCTAGAAAGTGTAAACTGTTTCTCTCCACTGAAACTCTCCCTTCAAACTCATGACAGGCCTGCTTCTCTTAAAAAGCTATTATCACATTTTTCCAGGGAGATGAGAAACCTTGCTGTGTGGTAAATCTCACAAACAGGCCTATTTTCACCAATTAATCTCAGCCCACATCCATGACCTAAAACAGACCATTTTCACATATAGTCATAATTCACACACATAATAGAAATCACTGAAGAATTAACACAAGAATTTGACAAATGTGGGAAACGACCAGAATTTCCTTGGCTTTTTATGTGTTGGATACAGAAAAAAATATTTAATAGAGTATTCTAATTGTTACCCAAATATCCTAAATGATAAAAATTCACTGAATCTTTTTTCGACTAGACACGAAGGAGGGAACTCATTTTAGCTAAACTCAACAAATATATGTTTTAAATCCTGTACATAGAAATCATCACACACACACACACACACACACACACAAAGACATACATAATCAAATGAAGATTAAATAGGAAACTTTGAAGGGCATGACAAAACAAGCCGTCACCATTACTAAAATATCCATCTTAGGTCATTGTTTTAAAATAATAACTTATAAAACAAGTTAAAGTTATTGTATTGTTGTTTTTAAACCTGAGCTTGTCGTCCGAGATAAAATAGACATGTTAATGAAAAGTCTAGCAGACTAGACAAGGTTCTTTGAGTTGAGTTCCAACCAGCTATTCATGCCCTGTTAATAAGCAAGTCTCATTCTTCTCCATTGTAAAAAGAAACAATGTAGCTTAGATGACTTTTAAAGTCTTCTGGTTTTAGAAAAGCTACAATGTCTGTATGCCAAAACCATAGAGGTATCTTTAGGATTCATCTTTCAAATTGATACAAGCAACTTTTGAATTATTTGTGCCCCCCACAAATTAACCAAATTTTCATTGTTGATAAATGAAGAGATCTGTACAAAGAACTATTGCCTGGAAAATAGAATTCAAAGCGACTTTCACAAAACTGCTTTACTTTATAATTCTTTAAACATCTTTTAGCTGTTGTCAAGATCTTTGTAGATCTAAAAGCCCAACTTTCTCAAAAGCCCATAGATGGAGCACATCCCTCTGTACACCAACCCAGAGCCTGAGGATTCTAAAAGAAAATGTAAGGATTGTGACAAGACGATCAGATGTTTACTTAACAAAAAGAATGAGCTAGCTATGTTTATAATAACTCCCTTCTCTATTTATAGTCTTTGTCAAAGATTACTAGGCTGCATTTTGTAGAGGGCAAATTAATTATTCTTCTACCAAACTTAAACAACTAATAGATTTTCTTAGTTCTCATCTTCAAGTTCAAGAACATATGACTGTTATATGTTGTGACAGAGACTTAATACACTTAACTTCTCTTAGCATTCTGTATCCCAGCCTTGTTTTTACCCAAGTTAACCTTAATCCCTGTCTCTCCACTATCTTCCCTTTTCAGTTTGATCAATGACATGGAATCCTGGTACTTACTGCTCATCTCCTAAGCCATTCTGAAGCAATGCACCCCCCTATGTATTATATTTTTCTAATAATGGGGTCTTTGCAAAGTTCCAAATACCCAGAGTTGCCATGTGTGGTTTAAACAAAGGGTAAGAATTTTGTTCTGTATCCCCTAGAGAAGAACCTACCCCATAAGCCACTAATACTTCCATTAACTCTGGAGGAACCTGTCCTGATCTTTTCATTCTCAGGGCCTAAAACTGACCCTAAAAACTATTCTTATGCCTAAGAACACTTTTATCATTGACAGATGTTACCTGACAACAGCAGTTGTTTCCGTACAAGCACCATTTGAAACATTCCAGCACTAGGGTTTACCCAATTATTAAAATACCTTCTGCATCTGAACTCTCTGGTGCTAGTCATCGATGCAACAAAAATGGTTCTTAGTAAAGACAAAAGACAAAGAGATCACATGCTTGGTCTCAAACATTTTTCCCTTCCATCATATCTACTAGTAACTAATTCCCCACCCTTTTGACTTTTATTTTCAACTGTTTGGGGGTGAGGGTAGGATTTTTTCCCTAACTCTTAAGCCCAGAAGTAAAGAAAATCCATTTCTAGAGCACTATTCCCAGAAATTCCTTTTGAAAATCAAATTGTTCTCAATGAATCTTGGCTGCTGTACCTATATCTCCTTACAATTATGGAACCTTATAGGTACAAGAGAATAGGACATAAAACTGAACAAGGCATGGGACTCTCATGGGACTCTCTTTACTGTCAGACAAAAGACAACGGAGAATCTAATACCTAAGAGAAGTCGGGCATGGTGATACGTGACAGTTAGCCCAGCATTCAAGAGGCTGAGGCAGGAGGAGTTCAAGGACAACCTAGGCTACATAGGAAGACCCTAACGCAAAACACCAAAAGAAGGGAAAGGAAGGGGGAAAGTGGGGGGGGAATGGGAAACAGGAGACAAGGAGAGAAGGATGGAAGAAATTATGACATATTTATTAAGAGGCCTTGCAAAGAGAATATTTGAAAATCATGGTTGAAAGTGGTAACATACAGTAAGAACAGTATTTAAAACCCAGACACTATTGCTGATTCCAGGAAGCGCTTGCTGGCAGAGCCTCCCCCCAAAGCTTCCAGGGACTAAACTAACAACCAAAGAGTATACATGGAGGGACCCGTGACTCCAGCTACATATGTAGCAGAGGATGGCCTTATCTGGCATCAGTAAGAGGGGAGACCTTTGGTCCTGTGGAGGCTTGATGCCCCAGCATAGGGGGATGCTAGAGCGGTGAGGCAGGGGTGGGTGGGTAGGTGGAGGAGCACCCTCAGAGAGGCAAAAGGGAAGGGGGATGGAATGGGGGTTGCAGAGGGGATACCGGGAAGGGGGACAACATTTGAAATGTAAATAAATAAAATAACCATTAAAAAATCTTTTAAATAATTAGTAAATATATCTCTCTGGGAAAACGTGAAATTAGAAAAAAAAACAAATGTTATGCAAATAATAGGCTGCTTTTTGTTTTGGTTTGGGTTTCTTTTGTCTCTCCACAGAGCCCTGGCTATCCTGGAACTCTGTAGACCAGGCTGGCCCTAAGCTCACAGAGATCCAACTGCCTCTGCCTCTGCCTCTTGAGTCCTAGGATTAAAGACATGTATCACCACAACCAGCCTTAGGCTGCTCCTTTTCAAGTAAAAATGTCCAGACCACTCAGTAGATCTGTGAAACCAATCTATGAAACCCTTGGTTGGAAAAAAAATAAATTAAATTAAATCATCTAGAATAGGCCACCATAAAAAGAAATGTCTTTTGAAATCCTGAATATTTCTCCTAAATGTAACCTCACAGAATTTTTGAAACCCAGTCCTTATTTCTTAGGGGAAAAAAGACATAAAGCAATCTGGCACATTTTAAGTATCAAAGAAATCTTCAGGAATAAATAAATTAACCAGTGTCTTGGATGTTCCTAATTTCTAATATTAAGATTTTTTTTCTTATAAGTTACATGTTTACCTTGTGAGGTTTTTGAAAAAAATGAGAGATTCAACATTTACTAATTTATATTAAGATATAAAAAACTAACTTTTCTCCAGTATAGAAAAGATCACTTTGTTTTAAATATTCAGGCAACTCTG